GAGCAGGGGGGCCAAGGAGCAGCCCAGGAGCGTGACCTAGGAGGGTGGGCTGCGTGGAGGCCTGGGGACTCCCCCCGCCCCCCAGGAAGTAAGGCAAGGCCGGGTCCCCTGGCTGTGGCCACGGAGGGCTGTCGGTGAGGTAGCGTTGCAGGAGCAGTTTCTATGCAGCGGTCCACAGAAGCTGAATTGCGGTGGACGGGGGCCTGAGTTGGGAGTTGAGGCCATGGGGCCAAGCAGATGTAGACTTGTCTAGAGAAATTTGGGCCAGAAGAGAAGTTCGATGGACACTGGAAGAAGAGAGGGACCGGGAGGGTGGCATTAGGGTTCGAGGGAGTCGGGACATGGTCTGGGGAGGAATGAGCCCAAAGGCACAGGTGGAAGGGTTGGTTCTCCTGGGGTGTAGCAAAAGAAATAACTTTCTGATGGTCAGGTAGGCTTCTGCAGAATGTGGCAACGTCCCATTGCTGGAGCTATTTGGACAAAAAGGGTTGGCTGCTTCTCGGGGGTGTTATAATGCAGCTTCTTGCGCAGGGAGGCAAGTTGGCCTAAGCAAGGGACAGCAGATGCCTGGGAAGTATGGCAGAATTGTGCTCTCTGCTCAGTGCCCCTGACAGACGTCGCGTCTCCGTCGTGGCCCAACCCACCCGAGATCGTTTACACAGCCTTGCCGTGCTGCTCTCCCTGGACCGGGACCGCGACCCTCCCTTCCCTTCCGTAAAATGGGCCCGTGTCTTCCTGCCGCAGGGAAAGCCTACGAGATCACCTACGTGAGGCTGAAGTTCCACACCAGTCGCCCCGAGAGCTTTGCCATCTACAAGCGCACCCACGCGGGCAGCCCGTGGGAACCCTACCAGTACTACAGTGCCTCCTGCCAAAGAACCTACGGCAGGCCCGAGGGCCACTACCTGCGCCCCGGTGAGGACGAGCGCGTGGCCTTCTGCACCTCCGAGTTCAGCGACATCTCCCCGCTGAGCGGGGGCAACGTGGCCTTCTCCACCCTGGAGGGCCGGCCCAGCGCTTACAACTTCGAGGAGAGCCCCGTGTTGCAGGTCAGAGAGGAGCAGGGCTTGGGCTGCAGGGGGGATGCCCAGGCCTGG